CTCAGCAGGGCAGCTGCCACAGCCACTTGCTTCTTGTTATGGACTGGAGTGTGTCTCCCTAAATTCACAGGTGGAATTGAGTATGACCCCAGTGTGACTGTATCTGGAGATAGGGCCCTTATGGAGGTCACAGAGATTAAGTGAGGCCAGAGAGTGGGGCCCTGATCCCATAAGGACTGGGGTTCGGATAAGACCAGGGGTGTACGCACAGACGAACGGCAGGGTGGAGACACAGGGAGAAGGTGGCCTTCTGCAAGCCTCGGGGAGAGGCCTCGGGAGACACCAGCCCTGCTGGCACCTTGACCGTGGCCTTCCAGCCTCCAGGACTGTGAGAAGATAAGTTCCTGTGGCTGAATTCCTCCCTGTCTGTGGCATTCTGTTCCGGCAGCCCTCGCAAAGCGATGCCCTCACTGATCCACCCAGTCTGGCTCTTTGGTCTTCTTGTCTTCCTCCGTTAGTCCACTCTCCAACTCATCTGCTTCACTTCCTGGGATCAGCTTCCAAGTCAACCACGAGCTGTGAATCCTTGTCTCAGTCTGTATCTTGGACAGTCCAGGCTCATACTCCTGTCCACGCTTTACCTAGCAGGACTGCTGGCCTTTGCACTTGAAGGCAGCTCCTGAGGGCAGAACAGAGGCAAGGCTGGAAAACATGGAACTCTACTCATCTGTGGCAATGATGCTGAGCCAATGATGTCCCTCCTGGACTGAGGGAGAGATTAACCACTGCTGTGCACGCCCAGGGCAGGGCGGTGGATGGACCCCAGAGCACCCCTAGCAAGGTGGTGGCGTCCAGCTGACCGTGGGCTGGTGCATCCTTTCTAGGGGAAGCACTGGGTGAGCGTGAATGCAGACGGTTTTTGTCAGTGATTCTTGAGCGCAGCTTTTGGAAACAGTGCTGAGCCTGAATCTCCGCTTCAGCACTTTCTAGATGGCTGACCTGGGGTAAATCACGCCCCCTCTCTGAGCCTTGCTCTCTTTATCAGATGAAGATGATATTGACATTTCCTCAGAGGATGCTGGGGGTGGGGGAAGTGGGTAAAGCCCTTGAACAGTGTCAAGTTAGTGGGGTGGGGTAAGTTAATTGCTTCTGAAGGTGATGATGGCGGGTAAGGGGGCGGAGAGGGAGGTTGCTGGGAATGTTGAAGGGCATATGCTTTTTGGGGGCCATGCCACACATGGCTCTCCTCTGCGGTACGAGCACTTTCCCCTGAATTTAGGGAGCTCCACCCTCACCCCAGCGAGGATAGCTGCTTTGATGAGTCAAAATGCAATTTCTATCTGAGTGAGTCTGGGAGCTGAGCTGCTGGCTCAGGGAACAGCTGTCAGAGAGAAGCTCCCCTGAGGCCTGGATGGAGGCACACAGGCTCCGTTAATAGCTTGGCTGGAGGGCAGATGAAATCTGGCTGTTCCCGGAGCCCTTCTTTAGAGGATACGGCAGGTGTGGCCAGGCAGAGAGGTGGCACTGGGGGAGGAGGGTTTGTGTGACTAGTTTAGGTAANGCTGGGGGGGTATTCCTTGGAGGGGATGAACATGGTTTGAAACTAGATAGAGGCGGTCATTGCACAACACTGGGAATATGCTGAATGCCACTGAACTGGACTTCCCTGGAGGCTCAGTGGTAAAGATTCCGTCTGCCAGTGCAGGAGACACGGGTTCGATCCCTGGCCCGGGAAGATCCCACACGCCGTGAGCAATTAAGCCCAGGCACCACAGCCAGAGTGCTGCCGTAGAGACAGTGCTCCCCAGCAAGAGGGGCCACCACAACAAACAGTAGCCCCTGCTAGCCATAGCCAGTGAGAGCCTGCAGGCAGCAGTGAAGACCCAGCACAGTCAAAAATAGAGGATAAATGCCACTGAACTGCTTGCTTTAAAGTGATCGGTTTTAGCTAAGTGAAATTCACCCAATTTTTTTTTTAGGTGCAGCCACTATGGAAAACAGTATGGAGGCTTTTGAAAAAAACTAAAAATAGGGTTGCCATATGATCCAGCAATCCCATTTCTGGGCACACACCCAGATGAAACTATAATTCAAAAAGATACACACACCCCTATGTTCACAGCAGCACTATTCACAAGAGCCAAGACTGGAAGCAACTTAAGGGTCCATCAACAGATGCACGGATAAAGATGTGGTACATATTTAAATGGAATATTACTCAACCACAAAAAAAGAAATAATGCTATTTGCAGCAACATGCATTGACCTAGAGATGACCATATTAAGTGAAATAAGTCAAATAGAGAAAGACAAACATATATGATATCACTTATATATGGAATCTAAAATACGACATAAATGAATGTAGTTATGAACCAAAAACAGACTCACAGTCACAGAGAACAGACTTACGTTTGACAAGGGATGGTAGGAAGGATTGGGAGCCTGGGATTAGTAGATGCAAACTAGTATATATATAGGATGGATAAACAACCAAGTCCCGCTGTTACAGCATGTGAGACGAGATTCGGTATGATAAACCATAGCAGAAAACATGCGAAAAGAATGTTTAGATCTATAACTGAGTCACTTTGCCGGACAGCAGAAATTAACACAACATTCCAAATAAACTATGCTTCAATAAAATAATTTTTTTAAAAAATTTAAAAGGAGGTACAGTAGGGTGAGTACTCAGAGGCACCAGGCAGGTTGATGATATAGTTGGAATTGGAACCCTGGCCACATGGGCCGGCTGAGTTTCTCCAGGGAAAGAGAAGTCAGAGTTTTTCCTGGACACATTACCCTGTCAGAATTCCTGGGATATCTGGGACTGTGGGGTGGGGGTGGGGGTGAAGGCACGATGAGCCCCAAACTACCTAGCTCACAGAGACTCATGAAAACAGGTGAGGCAACCACCTGGGCCAGCTTACAGGAGGCAACTATATGCTGAAATGCATCTCTGGGATGATGGCACCTCTTCCTGTTGCCATGGCGACCAGCACTTCATTCTAAGCCGCTCAAGCCACTTTCAAGGGAGGCAGAAGACACTGACACTTCCTTCTGGGGAGCCATTCACTGCTCTTATCCGCCTGTGGCCCCCCCCCCCGGGGGGGCCCAGGGTAACACTGGAAATGTCCCCTGGAGGCTGGGGTTCTTGGTGAGTTGTGGTGAGAATGACATTCTATCATTTTGGGGGTGGACCCTGCCACGTCCTGGGTCTACCTGCAGGATACGGTGAGGGTCGGAGACAAGAAGGATGCTAGCTCTCCACAGACATCAGACTAGATGTGGGCCCCAGAGGGGGTGGTGGCAGTACCTGGAGCATTAAAGGAGATGATGGAGGCTACTGTGGGTCCGGCCCCTTCCCGGGATAATGGTGAATTCGAGGGAAGTTTTTGTTCACCGCGAAGGTGCTCTGTGGGTGGGCAGAGAAAAGGCAAGGGAGCAACGGAATCCCCCGGCAGAAACTGGGTCCCGCCCTGGCACCTGCATAGTTCCTGCAGTGGCCTTGGCTGTGCACACTGGAAATGTGCCCTAGGTTTTGTTGAGTTGGGTCTGGATTTTCTGAAGAAAAGAGATGTGTAGTATAGTTAATCGCTAGTAAACCTGGGACCTGAGCTGGTGGGTTCAAATCCCACCTGGAGCCCTTACCAGGAATCTGGGCGGCTCTTGTTGCCTCTCTGAGCCTTGATGTCCTTTTCAGAGCCATGGAGATGATAAATAATACACCCAGAGGTGTGAAAATGAAAGGACATGTCATAGGAATTAAAATGTGTTTTGAGTGTTTTGAGCCCTTACTAAGTGCCAGGCAGTCCTAAGCTTCTCTCCCCACAGGTATTCCTGCATTTAGCCCCCATGACCATATGAGGTGAGCTCCAATATTACCTCTACTTCCTAGTCTAGGAAACTGAGTCTCAGAAAGGGAGCGATTTGTCTTGGGTCATCCACCAAGGGGCACGGATAGAGCTGACCCAGAATAGCTGGCTGTAGAGACAACCGGAATGGCCTGGCATAGCGGTTCTCAAGCGTCAGCATCCCCTGGAGGGCTTGTTAAAACACAGATCTCTGGGCCCCCACGCCTGCGTCTTTGATCCAGTAGCTCTGCAGAGAGGCCAGAAAATCTCCATTCCTAACGCGCTTCCAGGTGATGTAATGGCGCTTCCCTAGGATCCGGTCTCCAGCGACTGCTCTGGGACCATTTTCTAACACTCTTGCTGGTGCTTAGTTGCTAAGTCACGCCCGACACTTTTGTGACCCCGTGGACTGTAGCCCGCCAGGCTCCTCTGTCCACGGGATTTCCCAGACAAGAATACTGGAGTGGGTTGTCATTTCCTTCTCCAGGGGCTCTTCCCCACCCAGGGATCGAACTCGGGTCTCCCGCATTGCTGCAGATTCTTTACCACTTACTGCTCTAGAAAAAAATAGTAGGTAGGAAGGAGAGGGCAGGCGTGGGGGAAAAAGCCACACCTCTAAGTTGTTAGGCCGAGTGGTGTAGTGGCACGAACAAGCCTGTAAGGTCTCAGACCGGGGTTCAGGTCTTAACTCCACCACGACCACGGGCGGGGTTAATAGAGAGGCGCACACCCAGGCCGTGCAGGTTAATGGAGAGGCACTGCACCCCCTTCCCCGCTCCCCGGCTCCAGGCGTCTACTCCCCAGGTCCGCAGTCGCGCGCCGCTTGCCTCTCCATCCCTGGTCCAGTTCACCCTGGCAAGCGTTGCCATGGCAGCGCCGCGGGCTGGGATGCTGAAGGCCGGCGCTACCCAGCTCGCCTCTTTGTGCCGCGGGGGTGTCGGTGCGCTCCCCCCGCACCCGGCCGCACCCGCCTCTCAGACCCCGACCCCCGGGATGGGGTGAAGGGTAGGGTGTGGGGTTGCAGAGGCGCGGGGAGGCGGGAGGAGGGCCGAGGGGAGGGCCGGGGGTGGGGCGCCTCCGCCCGCCAGCCGCTCCCGCATTAAAATTTCATGGGCGCTGCAGCAGCTACAAAGACGGCGCCGGCTGCGCTCGGGGGACCAAAGGGAGGGAGCCTGCGGACGAGAGCGGGGAGGAGTTTGCGATGGGAGGCGCCTGCAGGGGCTCCCCCAGTTCTGCGCTGTGAGCCGGGGCACAAAGAGCCCTCTGCACTGGCGCCGCAGGACCGCGGACCCGAGGTAAGCCGCCGCCCCGTTCTGACAGCCCTCCCTGCCCAAGCACCCTTGTCTGCGCGCCGGGAACAGCCTAATTTCCCCGAGGCTGGCTTCGAGGGTAGGTCCCAGGGTCCCAGGCTGGGACAAACCTTGCCTGGGGTGGCAAACCTTGCTTGAAGCTGCCCTCGTTTGTTGGACGAAGAGCCTCACCAGTCCGCTGTTGTCAAATGCACCCGACCCCAGCCTGGGTGGGGCATGGAGAAGAAGAGGGGAGTTTGCAATAAGAGTCTAGCGCCCATGGGGGTCTTGCAGTCATGATTTGAGGGGGAAACAAAGACCCTCCCTTCCCCCCGCTACCGGACAGAACAGGAGAAGTCTGTCCCCCTGAACCTTTTCCGCCCACCAGAACCAGCCAAGCCTTGAAGGGCCCCTCCAGGGTCTCAGAACTGGAGGTGGGGGATGGGATGGTGGAGCAGGGTTCTTGAGCCCCCCACCCCCGTTGTCTCATACCAAGCTCCCCCCCAACCCCCACCCTGGCACCTGCCAATTCTCCACTTCGGGGCTCAAATGCCAGATGTCCAATGTCCAAAGGGATGCAGGGGGCCGGAAAACCTCTTCACTGAGAATAATGGTATCGATAATGATAATAATACATCAGGTTGAGGAGAGCTCTCTGCCAGCAACAGCTTAGGGCGTTGCGTGCATGTTCACAACAGTCCCCGGAGGTGGTAAGCGTCCCATTTTAAAGATGAGGAAACTGAGCTCCAGAGAAGGTTAGCGACAGGTCCAAGGTCACACAGCCAGGTATTTTGGAATTCAGATAGGTGCCACTCTAAAGCCCACGTTGTATCCTTAAATGGGTCTGCAGAGCCCCCAGCTCCTCGCCTACATCTCTCCCGTACATTCTCCAGAGAGGCTGGGCATTTGGGAGGGAGGGGGCCGATCTCTGCTCTCCCCCACTGGAGGACCCTCGGCTAGAGACACTGCTTCTCGGCTGTGAAAAATGGGAGGCTGGGGGCTCCGTATCCCCCACCCTCATCCTCCGGGGCTCCAGACCGGTGGCTGTTCTGCGCCCGGGCTGCTGGCGCGCTCACCCCACTGCAGTGCCGGCGCGGGGAAACCGCCCCCACCTGCTGCTGGGGGAGGAGGGGGGAGGTGGTAGTGCGGGGAAGGGCGGGGAGAGAACGGCTTTGTTTTTCTCTGTGCTCAGCCTCAGACTGAGTGAGACCCGGGGCCCAGCGGCTCCTGCGGGCGACCGACAGCGCGGTCCCCATCTGGGGGAGCCGGGGAGCTTTGCGATTGCCGGGCCTGGTGGGGGAAGGAAGGGATGAGTAATTCCACTCGACAGACGGGAAACCTGAGGACAGCGGTTCTCAGACTTCGGGGGCGTTGCTTCAGGTACGGCAGCTGTCCGGGCCACGTGGCCAGGGGATGAGTCAGCAGGGCTAGGGTGGGGCTGGGCATCTGGAGGTTTACTCAGACCCCCTCCTCCTCTTCATTGTGCAGATGGTCAGACCTCTCCCCTCATCCCCGGCCCAGAACCACTCTGGGTTAAAAGGTATCCCTGGGGACACTTGGGCAGAGGTTAGCGTTGGGTGGCCTCAAGCTCATCCCACACTGAGGTTGGTTAATTTCATGTTGAAAGAATTTTGAGGGTATCCAACTCTTTGCGACCCCATGGACTGTGTAGCCCGCCAGGCTCCTCTGTCCATGAAATTCTCCAGGCAAGAATACTGGAGTGTGGGCTGCCATTCCTTTCTCCAGGGGATCTTCCTGACCCATTTCCAACCCGAGGACCAAATTCCTGACCCAAGTATTGAATTCCCCACCCAGGGATCGAACCCCAGGTCTCCCGCATTGCAGGCATTCTTCACTGTCTGAGCTACCAGGGAAGCCCGTTTTAAGGGTGACATTCCTATAGCTCCCTTGCCCACCTATTTTGTTAGTTAATGATGCTGGCCATTGAGAAAGTCTCTGAAATCTACCCTACACCTTCTTGCTGCATTTTAGGTCCATCTCTCCACTCCTTCAGGGAGGAGGGAGGTGAATTCTTTGGAGTCCCTCAAAGGAACCGTAACTTCCCATGAGATTTAGAAGGACCACTCTCTCCACTGGTATTCAAAATGAATTCAAACATGAAATTTTTTTGGTGACCTTTAAGATGAACATAGTAAGTTTAAAAGAATGCATGATAATTATAGGAGATTTGGAAAACACTGAAAACAAAAGGGATGAAAAGTCCAAAATTCTGTCATCCAAGAATAACTACTCTCTTTACCATTTTTACGTATTTCCCCATGGTACATTTTCTGTGCTTGAAAATACTAAGTGAATTTATGCGCTGTGTATAATGCTTTTAAAAGGTTTCATCAGAGGAGTTTCTCCATATTTTTATGCCCTTGGCAGAAATCACTGTTAACAGGGTTGGTGTCTCCTTATTATTGGTCTTGCCAGTTGTTTTTAAAAATCTTCTTCTTAAGGATCCTTTCTCTGGACCTCATCCCTGCTTCTGCCCAGGGCAGGATTCTGCTCTTTGAGTTGATCCCTCTTCCAGGCAGCCTGCTGCTGCTGCTAAGTCACTTCAGTCGTGTCCGACTCTGTGCGACCCCATAGATGGCAGCCCACCAGGCTCCCTCCTCCCTGGGATTCTCCAGGCAAGAACACTGGAGTGGGTTGCCATTTCCTTCTCCAATGCGTGAAAGTGAAAAGTGAAAGTGAAGTCGCTCAGTCGTGTCCTACTCTTAGCGACCTCATGGACTGCAGCCTACCAGGCTCCTCCGTCCATTGGATTTTCCAGGCAAGAATGCTGGAGTGGGGTGCCACTGCCTTCTCCGCCAGGCAGCCTAGTGTGATAGAAATAGAAGGCACCGAGTTACAGGGATCTGTGTCGAATCCTCCCCCCCACCCTATGCTCTGTGTCAGTTTCAGGAGGAAGTCATTTCCCTTCTCTGAGCCTCAGTCTCCTCATCTGCAAAATGGGAATCATAATACTTGCCTTTAAAAGGCGATTGTGAGACTCTGAATCTGTGCGTGAAAAGTGCCCAACACCTAGTACAGACTTGGCTGCTTTAGTGCAGCCACTCTCAGCTCAGGTCACTTTTACTGCCCCTGAATCTTGTAGAGACATCTAGTTATTTGCTTTCATTTGTATTGGGCTTGTTGGTTTCTCTCCTGGGTGGACCTCAGGCTGTTTGAACAGTGGTGTTTCTGGGGCATTGGGGCCATTGTGCAGGCTCAACGGGCTGGGGAACAACTTAAAGGCTAGTCCTTTGTTTGGAAGGAATCCTTCCCCTCCTCTCTGAGGCACAGCTCATCTGTCAGCTGGAGCTCCCTGGAACAATAGCCAGCGATGCTCAGTAGAGGCAAAGGCCGGCCGAGGGTGACATCTGTCCCCTCATCCCTCGCCAGCTGACCGGATCAGACGAGGCAGGTGTCCCTTGCTCCCTTGGGGTGACAGGTGGGCCCCTCTGGAAGCTACTGGGTGAGTCATGGAGGGGAGGGAGGGGCTGAGCTAACCTGTGCTCGGAGGGGTGGAGGAGACGATTACTGGTAACCAGCTCCAGCTGCCATTTGTTAACTGTTAACCAGCTGCCATTTGTTAACCAAAGTTCTTGCCGGGAGTTGCCGCTTGGAGACCCCACGGAAAGGCTGAGAATTGGGCACTACAGATGGGAACTGGAGGCTCAGAGAGGTGCAGTGATTGGCTCAGGGTCAGATAGCAGGTTAGTTGTAGAGTCAGGATTTGAATCTAGAGCTAGTCTGGCTCTGAAGTGTGTATCTGAAACTACTATAGTACGCCGCCTCTTCTCCTAAAAGGGAACATGATCAGTTGCCTCAAGACCATGGAAGCCACTGGAATAAACTGACCCAGATGGTTTAGCAGTTCTGGTGAGTTCTCCATCAGTAACACTGACAGCCAGTGTTTGCATTGGACACAACCTTGCAGGTCTTTTCTCTTTTAACCCCCACCCCCATATTGGAAGAGAAGCCTTCTCCCCCTTAGGGCCTCAACAGGCCTAGTTAGAATCCAGCTGCATCCTTTTCTTGCTGGGTGATCTTGGAGCAAGGCACTGGACTCTGAACCTCAGTTTCCTCATCTGTAAAATGGGAGTAAAAAAATCCAACCCATTGTTTTGTCAGGTAAAGGTGTTCCCCCGTACCCGCAGCTCAGGGGTCCCCTTGTTTGAGGGAGGTGTGGATACCAAAGCTCCCCTTTTATGTAGGTTTGTAGTTGAATGTGTCGTGAGATGGTGTTGTGCGCATGTGCAGAAGCCTCTCTCTCCCTCTGCAAGTCTGCCACAAGGCGCCTTGCACACCCTCTTATTCCCAGGAGTTGCCATCATCTCCCAGCACGCACTCATCCACAGCAATGTAGGCCAGCGTCTCTCTGATGCCTCAGCTCTCTGAGCAGCTATTTTATTCCAGAGTCAGAAAAAAAAAAAAAACAAAAAAAGCCCTCAAACCCAGAGGGATCCTAAAATGCAACCAAATGCATTTCCCTGGCAGCTTTTCCTCCATTACAATGATCAGCGCTGAGTGTAGGGGGAAAATTGAGTATCCGTGGATGGTATTAATGAGCAGTGTGGACAATGGCAGTCAAAATAATGTAAGAAAAGAAGAGAATGCAAGATGAGAGATACCTCATCTAATCCGCACAACAGCCCCTGGATGGCAAGCACTATTATCAGCCCCACTGTGTGGATGAGAGGACCAGCTAGAGAAGCAAGGCAGCTGGTCAGGGTGCAGAGCAGGACCGGAAGCCCACGTCCTTTCCCGCGCCCTTGGGTGTTCTGGTTGGCACTGGCCCCGCCAAGGCACCCTGTGGTTTCTCATTTCCCTTCCGATCTGCATCCTAGGAGATCAGTTCTGGCAAACGCTGTGATTTCAGAGCACAGGCTGGCATCTGCTCCCCAGTGCACCCACAGCTACACTTCCCACCCCATCTTTCCTTCTCTCTCGATGACAGCTGGAGGCATCTCCCCGCCCACTGTGTGGTTCCGGACGCATTCGTGTGGCCGCCGTGACCCTTCCAACATCAAAGGAGCAACCGAGGTGACCCTTCCTCTCCTTCTGTGTGTTCCTGGGGCTGGGGGAGGACAGTCTCAAGCTGTGTGGTCAGGTCCACCACAAAACCCACATATGTGGGAGAAAACTTGTAGATTTCAGAGGTAGGAGGGACCTCTAGGGTTCTCTGGGGTCCCGTCCCTCAACCAAGGCTTCCCTGATGGGACTCCTGACCTCGGCTTGAAGTAGGGGTAGGGTGGGGCCTGTTGTGGGCTAGTGGGAACTGCGATGCTGGGGCCTGGGAGCCCACCACCCGGTCTCTGTGTGGCCTTTGGTTGTGCCCTCTGTCATCAGTTCTAAGTGATTTTTGAAAAGCGAACTATACTGAGGGATGATTTACATGCCATAAAACCCACTCATTTAAAGCATACATTTTGATATTGATGGAGAAGGAAATGGCAACCCACTCCAGTACTCTTGCCTAGAAAAGCCCATGGATGGAGGAACCTGGTGTCCATGGGGTCGCTAAGAGTCAGACACGACTGAGCGACTCCACTCACTCACTCACTCGATATTGATAAAGGTACACAACTGTGTGGCCACCACCACAATCAAGATATCAGACAGTTGCATCACCCCAAAGTTCTGCAGTTAAATCACCTCCGAGCCTCAGGAAACCACTGAACTGCTTTCTGTCTATGGATTCGACATTTTCCCTAAAGTTTCATCATCAGGGACTCTTTGTGCTTGACTTTTTTGTCTTTTTTGCTCAGCAATTTTGAGGTTTAAACTTGCTATTGCCTGTGTCAGCAATTCAAGCCCCCTTTTTGGGTCTAATTTCATGAAGGCATATCATATAACTCACCCACTTCGAGTGCACAATTCAGTGAGTTTTTGTCATTCTACCAAGTTCTGAACCCATTGTTACAAATCAGTTTTAAAACCCTTCCACTGGCCCCATAAGATCCCTCACCCTGTTTACCGCTAATCCCCAGCCCACTCTTCATCCCTGGCAGCCTCTAGTCTGCTTTGTCTGTATAGCTTTGCCTTTTCTGGACATTTCATATAAATGGAAATCATACAGCCTGTCTTGGGCCTGCCTTCCTTCACCCAGTTATACTATTTTTGAAGTTTGTCCTTGTATGTAGCAATAGCTTGTTCCTTTTTATCGCTGAGGAGATTTTATTAATACTATATGTCTGGACTACCAACAACAACTACAAGCTTATTTATCCATCCACCAAGACAGGGGATTTATATTTGATCTGTGCTTCCTAAATGGGGTGTATACACCCACTGCCCCGGGAGGCTTATAACCCTGCAGGATAAATATGGCCCATCAGTGTTACCACAAGATTTATTCAAAGTTTAAATCATTAACTGGGGAGGATAATTTTTGGGAACACGCCCTGTGCACCAGACACTGGCTGAGCCTTTGAGAATAATTAGCCTTGAGTCACATGCTGGGGACGTGGGGTCTGGAAGCCATCGCCTCACTCACGTTTGTTTGACCTCAGAGCCCTTTATACCCTCCTAGACAGCTGTCAGCTTGATGCAGGAGCTAAAGCTTCCATTGAAACCTCCGTTGATTTATTCGTATCAGGGAGTCTGGGTTCACAGGGTCAGGGGAATGGGTTGTTATTGTGTTTAAACAATGTTCCTCTGAGTGGTGCAGGGTCTGTTCGCAGAGTGCAAGCAAGTTCCTGAGACAGAGGAGAAGGAAGGGAATTTCCGGACTCTTCAGGATGTTCAGGACCACACTGGGAAGCAGCCTTGCAGATAAGTATTCAAACTTCCCAGCCCACAGCCTACCAGCCTGCCCTCTCCTGCACTCTCCTGGTCCGTGGAGCAAAGTACAGCATCCCTGAATCCCCAAGTCCAGGGAGAAATCAGCGCTCCAGCTCATTTGCTTTCCTATCCCTAAGATACAAAGAAAAAGCTTGTCCCCATTTTATGGGGCCCCAGAGAGTAATTTTTCCTACCCCACTTATGACCTCGAGGCTGGTATTTTACAAACTCCACCCTCAGGGACTTCTGAGGAGCTGAATTCAGTAACTTCGTCTCGAGCACTGTAGATCTGGTGTCAGGAGGAGACTGGGGCCTCCCGGGGATTGGGGCTGGCCCTTCCCTTCTCGGCTCTTGTCCTTTGCCATCATGTTTATAACACTTGGCTAGGGCTCCTTTTCTTGCCTGGCAGTCAAGTGGGGACCTTGGCGCTGTGACCCCAGGGCACATGCTTCTTGGTTTAAGGGTCTGAGGACATCTCCAGCTCTGGGCCCGGGCCCGCAAGTCCAAGTGCTGACAGCAAGCTCTGAAAATACGGTGAAAGGGCCCAGGCCTGCCAGTGGATGAAGATAACTTTGTTGCTGTTTGTTGTTTAGTCCCTAAGTCATGTCCGACTCTTTGCCATCCCATTGACTGTGACTCCTCTGTCCATGGGATTTTCCAGGCAAGAATACCGAAGTGGGTCGCCATTTCCTTTTTCAGGGAATCCTCCTGACCCAGGGATCCAACCTGCATCTCGTCTCCTGCATTGGCAGGCGGATTCTTTACCACTAGGCCACTGGGGAAGCCCTAAGATAGCTGAGCTGTATTCAGAAGAAAAGCTTGGGAGATGGTCCTGGCTCAGGATCTGTGGGCATTCTCTGGTCTTCTCCACACTGGAGACATGGGGATGTCGCTAAAGAGCACCAGCCCACCATCTGGCTCCCCAAGTTTTCTTTTTCTGGGACATGAGAAAAGAGGATAGGAGATGAGGGTGGGTGGGGGGGGGTGGGCAGAAAGATAACTGAGGTTGGGCCTTCTGCTGCCCATCCTCTGCCTCAAACTGCGGGTGGTTACTGCACTTTGGGTGAATGTTGGGACTGGGAGGACCCCAGGACCCAGAGGGAGGGGCCACCGGTCCTTCGCGAGCTGGGATCAGATGTCCAGCTTCCTGCCCCGGGCTTGCCCTGCTCTCTCTGGGGCCCCATGATGGTGTTGGCAGGGAACAGGGAGGTGTTCTGGGGAGCGAGGGGTTTTCTGGGGTGGGAGGAAGGGAGGTGGGGGTGGTGCACCTGGGCCCAGCCTCCCCACCTCCGGCTGGGGCTGTCTCCTGAGCAGAGAGGTCTGGCCTGAGCTGGGGAGGGGGCCTGGGTGCGGTTTTCGCCTGTGTCGCGGTTGGCTCTTTTGTCTTCCAGGCTGGGCCTGTGGGGGTCTCCGTGGGGCAGGAGCTGGGATCAGGACACTGCCTGGTAAGCCTGGGTAGGGGGTGGGGGAGGGCACTCCACTGAGTTTCGTTTCCCCCACCTGGGCCCTTCCCCGGGTACCCAGGCCCGGCCCAAACGCTCCTGCTGGGAGCTGGGGGGCTGGAAGGCTTGTTGCGTGGGGTGGAGGTGGTGGGATGGAATCACGACCATGGCGGGCAGGTCCACGGCACAGATTTCAGCACATGCCTTCATTCAGCGCAGACGGGGATCAAGTGCCTTCTCCTGGATACGAACTGAGGATTCGGAGGCCAACGTGAGATGTGGTCCTGCCCTCTCAGATCTTCGTGTAAGAATGTGCTTTATCACCATCCCCATGAGGGAATAAGCTCCCCGTCCTGGGAGGAGTGCATGTGTGTGTGTGTGTGTGTGTGTGTGTGTGTGTGTGCCAGGGAAGGGTGGTGCAGAGACCCCCTCCCCCAGCGGGAATGTCTAAAGGGAAGCAGAGCCTCCCGAGGACTCTGAAGGCCCTTTCTGCCCACCTGGACCCTTGCTTCTTATCCACCTGTGATGCCCGCAGGGTGGGCTCTGAGCTCTCTCTGTTGCTTCCATACCCCCGTGCTGGCCCTGGCAAGGCGGGGCGCCGTCTCTATGTGTTACTAGCATCCAAGGCCCCTGCCCTCCCCTGTCTCAGCATTGGCGGCACAGGAGGGAGACGGGGGTCTCTGAGGGTGTCCCCCCGGGGTGTGGATTAGCCTCGGGTGGAGGCCGGGCCCTCCTCCTCACTTGCTATGCCCCCTTCAGGCGGTGCTGCCCGGGCTGCGTCTCTAGGACTCCTGGCCCGCTGTCCTCCTGGAGCCCACAGGAGCCTGGACTCTGGCCTTGGTGACACAGGGAGCAGTCTTCACTGGTTTTCTGGAACCCTGGACAGCTCCCCGAAGATCTCATCCTTCCTAACTTCTGAAGCCTCCCCTGGATAAAAGCCCCTCCTGGTTGGTGCTCAGCTGAGGACAGGACCTGGCTCTGGCGGAGCGAGAGGGAGGCTGGCAGCCCGCTGTCCATCCCCTCTGCATCTGCCTGGACCTGCCTGCCTGTCCCACACCCGTCCAGGACTGGGGGCCCTTCCTGAGCCCATGAGGACCTCACTGCTCCTCCCATCCCCACTGGTGACCAGGCGGATCTCAGCCTGGGCCCAGGCCCCACTGACCACACCCTCCCTGAGGCTGGGTCTCACAGGACCTACAGGACGGGGGCAGGGACCTGTGGGTGGGCCATCAGGGACGAGCTGCCCGCGGGCTGGAGGGTGGACGCGGCTCGGGAGTCAGTGGGCTGGGGCCTGTTTTGTGCCCTTTGCGTGTGAGTGATTCTCATTTTTCTGGGGGCTTCTGGGGTTCTTCTTCCTGGCTTCTCTCCCTGATGGTCACCAGGAAGAGGCAGTCTAGGCCTCGGGGGGAGCTTGGGCCTTCCCCTAATGCTGTGGAGCTCTGGGAGGGGTTATCCTGAAAGGAGAGGGTTTCCAAGAGAGGAGAAGATCTCGGCCAGGGGGCTGGTGAGAAGGAGACAGACCCTGGGCCTGGCTCCTGACATCCAAAGGGAACAGTCCGGAATCAGCCTCACCCTAGCCCAGTCTCAGACCCCTGCTCCTAGTTGTCCCCATCCCTGGGAAGCAGAGATGGGCAGCGCAGGCTGCACACAAGTGCGGCTTCCCCATCACAGGGCTGTGGGCTTACTCACACACCCTCCCCTTCTCCAGTCCCCCCCGAGGGGCCGGCCTCAGCGCTTGCAGGAGGGCAGCCATGGCCTTCCGTGGAGAAGCTCAAGAGCCTGACATCCTTTTCCTGGCGCAGGAAGGGGCGCTGCCATAACAGAACTCCACCCCTGGATGGCTGAACTGCAGAAATGTATTTTCTTATCGTTCTGGAGGCTGGAAGTCCAAGACCAAGGTGGCAGGGGTGGTTTGTGGTGAGGCCTACCTCCTTGGCCCGCAGATAGAACCTTCTTGCTGTGTTCTCACATGGCCTTCTCTCTGCGCATATGCAGAGAGAGAGACAGTGTGTGTGAGAGAGAGGAGAGAAATAGATAGCAGGCATCTCTTCCTTTTCCTGTAAGGGCACTGGTCCTATGGGGTTAGGGCCTCATCCCTGTGACCTCATTTAGCCTTAATTACCTATGCCAAAGCCCTTCCTCCAAACAGAGTCACATCAGGGCTGTGAATATGGAGGGAGACTCAATTCAGTCCATAGCAGGTGGTCACCACAAACCTGGAAGCTGGCGCCATCTCCCCTTTAGAATACCCATCCCCGATGGGGACGGGAAGGAGAAGCAGAGGCATGGGAAGCAGAAACAGTGTGGCAGGTCCTGTGCGAGGGTGGCCCTGAGAGCCTCGGAGAGACACGGAACTGGCCGAACCAACCCAGAGCAGTGAAGAGAACCCGCCCGCCCTTGTGAAGAACTTGGGCTTTGGAGCCTGAGGGCTATGCTCTGAGGTGCAACCTTGGGCAAGTCACCTCACCCCTGTGAGTCCGACTGCCACTCTGAAGCAGGAGCCACCTGCTTCCCCGGGGACCGGGACACAGGGAGAAGTCAGTGAGATCTCACGACTGGCACAGTGCCTGACTCTTAGTAGGTGCTCAATAAATACTCCCGTCTGTCTGGGAGTTTGGATCTAGGGCTTCTCTCTTTTGGGCACCCTGGACTGTAAACTCCGCATCTTTGATCCAGAGGCATTTCTGACCAGTGCTTCCCCAACTGTATCTTTTTGTTTGTTTTTGGCTGTGTGGGGTGGCATGTTGGATCTTAGTTCTTGGATCAGGGGTTGAACCTGTGCTCCTGGTGCTGAGAGTGCAGAGTCTTAACCCCTGGACTGCCAGGGAAGTCCTCCCCTCTTATATTTTTAATATCCCTCTCTAATCAGATCAAGGAATCTACTGCATGGCATGGCCTCCACAGTAGCTCTGAATGCTTCCTGGGGAGTTTAATATCTACCCTTCTCATCAGAATTGAGCACCTACTGTGAGTCCTTCCCTGTGCTACTCATTTGAGGGGGATATAAGTGCAGATATAGCCACGATTCAAGCCTGCAGAATCTCACAGCCATGCCAAGGGGGAGAAAACCAGTCCACCCAGAGAATGAGAGGATGGGGCAGAAAACAGTCTCCTGAGGCACAGATTCTGAGGGCTTGGGTGGGTGGGAGGGAGACTCCAGAGTAGGGTGGAAAGGCTTCCCAGGGAGGCTGAACCAATCAGGACCTTGGGAGGATGAGAAAAATGTGGCTTAGCTGGGAGTTTTCCAAGGGAAATTAGGTAAGAGATTCCCAAAGTAAGTTCTAAGAGATGTCATTGCTCTTTAAAAAAAAAAAAAAAGAAATTAAAACTCAGTAGGTTTCTGTAGTGCAGGACTTATCAGTGCTGATGGGAATTGTGAATACTCAAGGACAGACAGAGGACTAAGTATTTTCCCCCAAGCTTTACTGTCAACAAAACCCTTTTCTTATGGAGCATCATTTAGAACTGCAGTCTAGGCTGGGGTTTCTGTGGGAGAATGGTAACAGTGATAGGAGATGACAAAACTAGGACACACTCAGGTGCTCTGGAGCAGTGGCTGGGAAGGCAGCTCTTTCCCTGGGGCCGGCAAGTCTGAACTCAGCTGCAGAAGTCAGGGGAGCTCTACACGGCTAGAGCGTTTGGGGGAAGGGTCGGCCAGCGGTTGGGGTAGCCAGATGCCTGGCAGTGGGGGGCGGAGGAGCTGTCCACTGGAGCCGGTGACTCTGGGGTATCAGACCTTTTGTGAGAAGATGCTGGTATGTGCGTGTGTGCGTGTGCCTGAGTGTGACAGGATCCAGCCTTCTGGGAAGGGGTGACCGGGACCAGGCAGGGGGTCTTTCCAGCCAGGACCAGCAGCGTCCATTTTTGGGGGATCTGAAGTGGCTGGGGGAGGGGCCCTGAGGCCCATCGCTGAGAAGCAGATTCTTCTGGGCAGGGTCCACGTGGACAGTTGATCCTGGGGGCGGGGCTGAGGCGCTGGCGGCAGACCCCCTGCCCTGGTCAGGCCCAGTTCCCTGGCTGGTGGGGGCGGGCGGCCTCTGGAGATGCGGCTGGGGCAGTGTTGCATGGTGGGATTAACCTACTAACCCAGGGCTCGGCCGGGACGCTGTGGCGTGTGGCGAGGTGCCTGGCCTTCTGCCAACCGACTAACCCACTAACCAGGCCCGAGCATGCCCTACTAACCCCCGCGCAGCCAGACCCTACTAACCTCGAAGCTCATGGGCCTTCCCAGGGGTGGGGATGTGGGGGCAGACGAGGCTCCGGAAGGCCCTGCCCGTGGCCTGGGATCTCTGTGCAGACCCACATTCCAGGACCGGGCGCGCAAACAGGATTTGCCAACTCTGCCGCTTCCTGCTGGGGCGGGCGGGTGGGACTTGGGAGAGCGAGTCACCCCACCTCTCTGAGTACGTTTCCTCGGCAGTGGAATGGGAGGCCACCTCCCAGGAGGATAGAGTTCTTGACACATAGCAGATACTTAATCCACATTTATGCGAGGTGGGGGTGGGAGGCCCAGAAAACCGGACCCATCGGGTCCCCTGGCAGGCCCTGGTCCCTCTAGGTGGTTTGCACACAGACCCCTCTGCCTGGGGCCAGACACTTGCTTTGAACCCTTAACTGTGTCTTTCCTCACACTTTTCCTCTCCTCAGCTTTTCCCCATAGGCAGTTCTTTTGTTCAATTACTAACCCGTCTAACCCCGGGGCGAGGGGGCCTCAACTGCACCCCGACCACCCCCCTAACAAACTAACGGACCCTAGTGTGTTCCTCCTTTTCTCCTAGCGACTCCTGTGTGTGTCTGCTGAGGTGCCCCTGCCCGCTGGCGCTGCGCTCTGACTACTAACCCAGTCCCTACTAACCCTGTTTCCTCTTACTAACCCCAGCCCTGCCGAGCTCTGGGCCCCCTTGGGGGCTAGTCACCCCCTCCTTTTGGCAAGCACACGTCCTAGGCTGGTCCTGCAGACAGATGCCCCACTTTGCTGCCCCCATTGGCTGTGAGTTCAGAGTCCCCTGGGTCAGGTCTGAGGGGGGTGAAGGCCCGGAGGAAGAGGTGCCCCTGCGGTTCTGGAGGGAGGCCGGCCTGTGAGCAGAGCATCTCTCTGCGCAGAGTCTGGGGGCCACTGGGAGTTGGCCGGGGCAGGGCAACCTCTGCGGTGTGAGGGTGGAGACCTGAGGGTCGCCTTCCAGCCAAGGGAGCGGAGAGAAGGGGCCTCTGGGTCCTTCTTCGGAGGGAAGTGGGGGTAGACGTTTCTCACTGGGCAAGTGGCTGATAGAGGCGGGGCGCCACTGAGGGGCGTGTCCTGCGCAGGAAGTCAACAAAGGAGGCGTGTCCCTCAAGGGAGTTAGTAAAGGGGCGTGTCCCACGCCGGAAGTCAGTAAGTGAAGACTTCCTCCGCATTGGAAGTCAGTAAAAGGGTCTTAACCGCGGTGGAAATCACTGAGGGAAGCATTTGGTACCGGAAGTCAGACAAAGGGGGTATTTCCTATATATGAAGAATGGGAAGAGGGGTATTTGTTACACCGTTAGTCAGTGAGAGGGGGATTTCTGCCTTATCACAAGGCAGTGAGGAGGAATGACTAAAGAGATGAGTGAGAGGGGCCGTTCATACGACAGGAAGTTGGCTAGAGGGGCCCTTCCCCCATCCCTTGAGCTGCGAGATGCCGGTTTACCACGCCAGAAGTAGGTGCGGTCCATTTCCCCTACAGTTGCCTTTGAGAAGGGCAGTCCACATTGAGAAGTTTGAGAAAACAGCAGATCTGAAGTTTGAGAAGAAAGCAGATCTTGGGTAGGGGGTTTGCAGGGGAAAGTGGGAAACAACCAATGAACCCCAGGCGTCCACAGGGCCCTGCAGGCCTTGGACCAGTCAGAAATTCACCCCTGGCTCCTTGTTCTTTTCACCCCCACGTCGCTACCCCAGCCTGTCTACCCCAGAGCCCGCCAGCCGCTAAGCCAGGGCCACACCTGGGGGTGATTTTATGCCTCACCTCCAGTAGGCACCTTGGTCTCTTTGGGCTAATCTCTGGCTCCTCTGCACTAACTCTTGCTCTCACCCAGCTAATCCCTGCCTTGCCCTGGCTGCCCCAGGGGCTGACCATTAACAGCCAGCCCTGCCCATTGGGGGGGCTCCAGGCTCCTGGCCTGGCTCTGACCTGCTCTTAATTAACCTCTCCTTCACCTGACTAACTCCTGCCCTCCTGATCTGTTCCTTTCAGCAGAAACTAACGGCTTGTGGATTTCTTTCTGACTAACAACAGGTCTAACACTCCTCGTCACTATTACTATTAACAGCTTGGATGTCGGCATGGCTGGGACTTGACTAACAATAGGTGGGCTGTGGTGATGGCTCTGGGGAAGAGCCAGCTGAAGTCAGGAAAGACCTCGGTGCTCAAAAGGAGATGCCGGGGCTGGGCTGTAGCTCAGGCCGAATGGAGGAGTGGTGTCTGCTGTGGGGTGGCTGGGGTGGTGGGGGTGGGGGGTGGTCAGAAGCATAGTCAGCCTTCCAAGATTTTGGCTGCTAGACATATCCTATTAACCCCTTATAATTTGCATTCGGGTTCTGGTTCTTTTAAACAATAGCTTGATAGTTGTATTAGTGCATGCAGCTTTTGTAGCCCCCCACCCCGCCAAAGGCCTGTCTAGTGTGTAGAGAGGAGATGCCATTGTAATTGGAATCATCAGTCACCAGGGGAGAGCCTAGAGTCCTGGATCTGGGGATTTAAGAGTTTGGAAGCCTTAAGACATAAAACTTTAGATTGGAATAGTCAGATGGGTTATAAATCCATTACCCATTGACACCCTGGTGTAAATTAGCTCAGCTTTCTAACTTCTGTGCAATTTAGCTGCCCTGGGAGGACCAGAATGTGGCTGGGAGTCTGGATCTCTTCAGGGCTGGGGAGGCTCCTCTGGGAACAGAGAGGAGAAGCTAGAATCCGGGGGTTCTTTGGTGGGTTTAAGAGGGGAAACCAGGAGGCCGGGGAGGGGGGATGAGAAGAGGGGCTGTTTTGCTGATTTGGTCTGGTAGTCAGGGTCTGTGGGACAGGACAGCTTATAGCAGGGCCTGGAAGATTGGATCAGCTCAGGGGCAGGGTCAGTCCTGCCTGGAGGCCTTGCGGGCAGCTTGCTTGGGTCACTGAATACTGTTGTGGGGTTGAGGGCCTCTCTGACAGTCAGAGACTCAGAGCTAAACTCGTGGAGCCGCGGGTGAGGTCTGCAGGGTGATCCAGGGGCCTGAGCTGCAAAGGGAAGGAGAGAGGAGGACACATCAGAACCTGGGATGAGGGGGGAGCTGCACGGAGGAAGCACGTGCCTGCTGCCCTCTAGTGGCCGCCTCGCTTCATTTCACTGGAAACATTTCCCATTCTGGGGCCTTTCAGTTCAGTTCAGTCCAGTCGCTCAGTCGTGTCCGACTCTTTGCGACCCCATGAATCGCAGCATGCCAGGCCTCCCTGTCCATCACTAACTCCCGGAGTCTACCCAAACCCATGCCCATCGAGTCGGTGATGCCATGCAGCCATTTCATCCTCTGTCGTCCCCTTCTCTTCCTGCCCCCAATCCCTCCCAGCATCAGGGTCTTTTCCAGTGAGGCAACTCTTCGCATGAGGTGGCCAAAGTACTGGAGTTTCAGGGGCCTCTATATTAAACTGCAAAGACCTGACGATGCTGAGGACCTACTATGTGCCCAGCACTGCTCTGGGTCTTGGACCACCCACAGGCTTTTCCATAGTTCTTGACTAACTTGGTGGAGGAGACAGAGAAATAAAACAGGTAATGCAGTGAGGTGGGCACCATGATAGGGGTGATGGGCCTGTGGAAGTGCCCAGGAGGCAAAGGATGAGAAACACCTGCTGCGTGCCAGGGGCAGTTCTAGGCATCAGGGATGAGTGGTGATTAAATATCATACAAGCCTTCAGGAGCTTTAATGCTAGCGTATCGAGTGGTGTGGGGTAGACTGGGCTGTGGGCCACCAGTAGATTTTCTGAAGAGGAAGGCATCTAAGTGGAGCCCTGGCTGGGCAGAGTGTGGTGGCGAGAATGGCGGACAGAGTTCTGGGGGTCAGAGACAACTGAAGAAGTTCTGGAAGGGTCGTAGGGGACGAAGCAGGAGACTGAGGGGAAATGGACACATACCAGATGGTGTTGCCAGGAAGTTTATCCTGAGGGCTATGGTGGGGGGGGTGGGGGTGGTTGTGGATGTGATCTGAGGAGGGGAGATGTTAGATTTGAGTTCTAGGCTGATGACGTGACTGTTTCAGCCTAGGTGGAATTCTGAGGAGCTGATAACATGTTCTGGCCAAATTTTAGAAAACTTGTTAGAACTTCTGGAAAGGTGGCGGATCCTCAGATCCATCATAAGATAAATAAAGAGGGCCATGTTCCTGCCAGGCAGGGGCCTGGCTGAGGAGACAACAATAGGTTGGAGGAACAGCCTTAAAAGCATGTCGTCCCAAGCCCCTGGAATGGTCATGCTGGTCTGGGGGAAGACCTGAGGGGACGTGGTCCTGGGGCTGGAAGTCCACAGGAGAATCTCGCTGGAGAGGGACCCCGTTAGTCCTGTGTGGCTGCAAGGGGGCACGCAGGCTTGGAGGAAGCTTCTAAGAGGCTGGTCCCAGGGAGGGAAAAATGCATCTTGGTGGGTAATGAACCTTTTGGAGACAGAAAGATTAGGGGCAGGCCACCTTTGAGACTGAGGATGGTGGTGGGATTCTGGGATTCTGTGTGTGAGTGTGTGTGTGTGTGTGTCCTTGACTTTCTACTAGAGGAAGCCAAGCGCAGGAAGGCAACTCTATTCTTCACCCTTGAGCCCAGCCTGCCGATGCTCACTCTGGCCTGGACTCCTCTGAGCATCAAGCTCGCTAGGTGCTGTATCTCAGGAGCCTGGGAACTGGCGTCCCAGCTGAAGAGGCGACTCAATCCTTTAGCAGCCAGTGTGGAGGGAGAGGCCACGGGGGTCCCTGCTGGGGGGCTGTGCTTATGTAGATATTGATATTGCACATATTGAGCTGGGGGGATGCCCTGGGGGGGGGACTGCTCCCATCCCCACAAAAGACCCCAAAGGCCCTCTTGAGCATCTACCCAGGGAACCCACTGTTTTGCTTGAACAGACCAGAGAGGACACTTTTCATGTTACTGCCTCCCGGGAATGCTAACTGTGGGGACAGAAATTCTGCTGTTGATTAAACATACTTTTATGTGTATCCAGCAATGAAGTGTGAACTTGGCCTTTTCCTTTTACCTATAAATGCAGCTTCTTTTGTTGAAAAGACCATTTTGATATTAAAAACTAATTCACACACAGAGGATCACTGTGGCTTAAGAGGCAGAGGAGTGCGTAATTTGTGGGGATGGAGAGCCAGTGGCATTTTCCAGGCACCAGAGTGGACTCTGCCAGCCTTCTCTCAAGACCATGACCTTAAAAGTCAATACAATACAGATTTCATTTGTAATTGTGGGAAAATACACATTAACAAAGTTTCCCATCCTAACCATTTTTAGGTGTACAGTACAGTGGTATCAAGTACATTCACACTGTTACTTGTTGCAAGCATCATCACTATTTGCTGTTGTTTAGTCACTAAGTCATGTCCAACTCTTTTGTGACCCCATGGACTGTAGCCCGCCAGACTCCTCTGCTTGTGGGATTCTCCAGGCAAGAATACTGGAGTGAGCTGCCGTTTCCTTCTCGAGTGGATCTTCCCGACCCGGGGATTGAGCCTGCATCTCCTGCACTGGCAGGTTCTGTACCACTGAACCACCAGGGAAGCTTGATGCTTCAGTATTTATTATCTGTTTGTTTTGGAGAAGGAAATGGCTTTATTTGGCTGCATCAGGTCTTAGCTGCGGCATATGGGCTCTTTAGTTGCGGTATGCAGGATCTAGTTCCCTGACCAGGGACTGAACCCAGGCCTGCTGCATTGGGAGTGCAGAGTCTCAGCCACTGGACCACCAGGGCAGTCCCTACTGCTATATTTTTAAGACAGCACTACTTTTTGTCTAGGACAGCATGTCAGAGAAAACCTATGTCTCTTCTCAACTTCGGTCTCTTCCCTGCTCTCCCTCTGTTCACCTGGAAACCATTGACTGAGTCCACCCTGAATACCAGGCACAGCCCTCCTCTCGGGGATGCCAGGCTACCCAACTTTCTGCTTCTCTAAGGCAACTCTTATTCTGTCCTGTAGATTTTTGCACTGGCTGTTCCTTTGTGCATGGCTGAGGGCCCTTCTTTGGGGCCCTCAGGTCTCAGCTGAATGTCACCTCCTCAGAGACACCTCCCCTGACCATCACATCCACAGTGATTCTGTCTTTTCTGTTCTCAAATATTTTGGTCCTAGGGCCCTTTTATACTCCTACTATATGGTAAAGGTCACCCTCCAGTCCACTTGGGCACTGCTCGGTCACAACTTGCTCCCCATTTCATTCATTCAACATCTTCTGATGACCAGAACGCACGTGAAAATATGCTCAGTATCACTAATTGTTACACAAGTGCAAATCAAAACTACAGTGAGTTATCACCTCACAGAGGTCAGAATGGTGGTGGTGGTTTAGTTGCTAAGTCGTGTCCGACTCTTGCGACACCATGGACTGTAGCCCGCCAGACTCCTCTGTCCATGGGGTTCTCCAGGCAAGAATACTGGAGTGGGTTGCCATTTCCTTCTCAAGGGACAGGTCATAATGGCCATCGTCAAAAAATCTACAAATAATAAATGCTGGAGAGAACGTGCAGAAAAGAAAAACCTTTCACTGTTGGTGGGAATGTAAACTGATGCAACCACTATGGAGAACAGTATAGAGATTCCTTAAAAAACTAAAAACAGAATTACCGTATCATCCAGCAATCCCACTCCTGGGCATATATCTGGAGAAAACCATAATTCAAAAAGATACACGCATCCCAATGTTCACAGTGGCACTATTTACAATAGCTAGGACATGGAAGCAACTTAAATGTCCATCAACAGAAGAAGAAAGAAGATGTGGCACTTATGTAAAATGGAATATTCAGTTCAGTTCAGTCGCTCAGTCGTGTCCGACTATTTGTGACCCCATGAANCCAGTCCATCCTAAAGGAAATCAGTCCTGAGTGTTCATTGGAAGGACTGATGTTGAAGCTGAAACTCCAATACTTTGGCCACCTATTGTGAAGAGCTGACTCATTTGAAAAGACCCTGATGCTGGGAAAGGTTGAAGGCGTGAGGAGAAGGGATCTACAGAGGATGAGATGGTTGGATGGCATCACTGACTCAATGGACATGAATTTGGGTAAACTCCGGGAGTCGGTGATGGACAGGGAGGCCTGGTGTGCTGCGGTTCATGGGGTCGCGGAGTAGGACACAACTGACTGAACTGAACTGAAGAGCGAGCCTTGGATTCTGCTGTCTGCTTCTGCATTCAGTCTGTTGCAACATCACATGTCCAGGTAGCCCCTGCAAAACCCCACCATGCACTTGGGAGGGAAGATGAAATGGAAGGATTAATTTCTCTTTGGGTCCCCAGATCTCAGGACCACACCTTGAGAGCCGCTGCTCTGTCACAGAAAGCTGTTTATTTCTTGCTGAAAACTTGTGCCCATCTGGAATTACCTCGCTTACTCGTTTGATTTCTTATTTGTTGTCTGTCTCTGCTCTTATTGTACACTCGTGGAAGGCAGGGTCCCGGAGTCCACTGCAGGCACTCTTAAGTGGTCAAGCCAGAGCTGCAGTTCTCGGACACAGCCAGCAGATGGCGGTGTCGCACCAAGACCGCCGCATTCTCTGTTGGAAACTTTGGTTACTCTGGCGTTTCGAGAGGAGGCTCTGTGGGGATCCTCTTGGGATTCCAGAGTTTCACGGAATTGGGTGGGCCTGGGTGGGTGGGGGAAAGAAAAAGGCTAGAGAGAATGTGGTTTTGAACAGAAGCTTCGGGAAAGTTCTGTTCATTTCTACAGAGGGCTTCTGTTCTTAACAGACATCAAGCCAAATGGCTTCTCCTCTTGAAGCCTGTTTCTTCATCTGCAAAATGGAGGTAATACCGTTTCCGTCTAAGAGATTGTGAGGACTCGAAAAGAGGAGATGCAGAATATCAGTACTTGATGGGTCTCCAGTCGGCTTTCCTACGCCTGTGGTTTCTCCTGCCGCCGGGCAGGGAATCCAGGTGGAAGGTGGGGCAGCCTGAGGCCTGGAGACGGGAGCAACCGGACCATGTCACTGAGCAGACAGACGGCAGCCCAGCTGGCGCTCAGGCCGCCCTGTCCTCCCCGCGCCTGAGCCCACCTGGACGCAGGCGCCCCAGGGGTCCTCGCCGTGGGCCTTTCTCACCAGAGTCTCTTACCCCAAGTGGCCACACTAGGGTCTAAGCCACACAGCTGGGGGTACAGAGGCCCCATGGAGAGCTGGTGCTGTTCTGCCTGAAACACAAGCTTCCCAGCCCTCACAGAGAGTCCTGTCCTGTGGGAAGGAGGCCTCCTCCCAGAGAAAAGCCCTGGAATGTAAGGAATGTTCTGGAGGCTCCCACCGGGGCCCCAGGACAGGAGCGCCTTGGAAGCTCAGGACCGTGGGGGCTCTTTCGCAGGGAGGATCTCAGGGCCGCTGGGCCACCGGGGAGCGCATACCAGACAGCACCTTTTGGCACTGGGGTCAGGCCTCAGCCGCCTCCAAGCGTTCCCAGGTTCTCAGTGTGGCCGTGATAGGGCTGCTGCGGGACTCACGCGGTCGTGCCTCCAGCATCTCCCCCAGTGCCGGCGCCCCGGGGTCTGGGGCCGGGCCCCGCGCTGGGCGCCGAGGCTGCAGAAAAGTCAGGCTGAGCTCTGCTCGGAACCTCCTGGACTCAGACACTGTGTCACCTGGGGCAAGTCACCTCGCCTGTCTGGGCCTCTGTGTCCCCACGTGAGAGACGGGTTAGTAATGGAGCCTCCTCCTTGGGGTTGTGAGAGGACCCCGTGCACGGGGAGGTCCCGGTGTAATCATGCCACAAGCATTTGTCATTATTGTCTCTGTGGCTGGCTGTATTTTTCAGAAAAGGCAGCAGCAGTCTCTCCCATCCCCTCAAAGCTCGGTAGGCTTGTGACAGTGGCAGATGTGATGGTGCGTGACTTCCAAGGCCAAGTGCGGCTCACCTGGAGCCCAGCCACCATGCTGTGAGGAAGCCAAAGCAGCTGTGAAGAGACCTGTGGAGGACCTAAGCCCCAACCCCTTCCCCACCCCGAGCCCTGGCTCAGCCCCCACGTGGCAGCAACTGCGCCATCTCAAGGCGAGGATCCTTCAGCTCTAGTTGGGCTACTCTAGCCAATGCTGCATGGAGTGGGGATAACTTTTCCCACATTGCAGGTTCAGGAGCAAAAGAAATGATTCTAGCTCTTAGTTGGTAGGTCTTGGAGTGGAAGACCTTGTGAAGAAACAGACAACAGATACAACTCCTTTTAAAAAACGTCTTTTTTTCTCTCTCCTCTGAACTCAGGATGTTTCCCCTGCCCCATCCTGGTCCTCTGCCAGCGTCTCCCATCTCAGTGAAGAGCCCCACATCTCTGGATGCCCAAAGGCAAAATCGGGGAGAAATCACAGGTATCCTGTCCGTTTTCCTCTGTCTCTCTGCCATTCCTCTCGTCTAAGCCTCCAGCGCTTCGCTTGCGTCTGGGGTGGCCGTGCCAGCTCCCTCCCTTCCCTGCCCACCTCCCTCCCCCACAGAACAGGACTCTTGATACCTAAATGATGTGCAGAGCGGGTGAGTCACCAGCTCACAACCTCACCTGCCTGGAGTGCTGGGTCTCAGCTTATGAACTTCATCTGTCTTTTCCTGGCCTGTCCTCTGTTCCTCGAGTTCAGGATGAGGCCCCTCCGGCAACCACGTCCTGCCTGCGCACAGCGTCCTCTGAGGCCAGTGGGGGTCACAGACATGGAACCTAACATGTGAGGAACCTCCTGCCATTCACTGCTGCGGAAGAAGTTGAGGACAGCAGCTGGGCAGCGTGGCCTGGGGGTGGCTGAGGCCAGTGGTGGGAGGAGGCTGCACTTTTGAGCCCCTGTGAAGGAGCTGATCACGTGACCTCAGGAGGAAGGGGGTGTCAGGCAGGGGCAGCAGTGAGGGCAAAGGCCCTGAGGTGGGAATGAGCGGCGTGCTGGGGGGAAGAAGACTGGGGTGCGAGAGGCTGGGGGGTTGGGCCTTGAGGTTGGGGGTCAGCAAGCAGAGAGTCATTTGGAATAGAGGAGGCAATTCAAAGTTATTTATACGCTTGTTTTCCCAACCAAAAAGCAGACGCTGATTATCTCCCTGGTGGGGACTGTCAGCCGCACCACTGGTGCCTGTTAAAAATGACCCTTTATGGGGACAAACTGCTCTTCAGGCTCACCTGGGGAATTCCTGCTCAACGCCAGCATCACCAGCTCTGTGAAGACTCCCAGGTTCAGCTGACCTTGGCTTTCTGTGTGTCCCACAGGACCCTGGACCAGTTTCCAGCCAGGCGCCCAGAGCTCTGACTTTTGTTTCCTCGTGTGGGCCTTATTTCCAATCAGGCCATTATGTCTCAAAATGAGGTTCCCTCACTGCCTCTGGATTTCTGAGGCTGGGTGGGCTTGCTAAAAATGCAGACTCCTCTGAATCAGCACCTCAGGGGTGGGTTCAAGAATCTGCCTTTCTAACAAGCTGCCTGCCAAATAATTCCTTTTTTAAAAAAAATTGACTATTTATTTATTTTTGGCTGTGCTGGGTCTTCATGGCTGCGAGAGCTTTTCTGTAGATGTGGAGAGTGGGGGCTATTCTCTAGTTGTGCTGCAGGAGTTTCTGATTGGGGTGGCTTCTCTTGTTGCAGAGCCTGGGTTCCAGGGCATGTGGGCTCAGTAGTTATGGCACGTGGGTTTAGTTGCCCTGAGGCATGGAATATCTTCCTGGATCAAGGATTGAACTCATGTCTCCTGCACTGGCAGAGATTTTTTACCACTTGGGAAGCTCCCCGCCAAGTAATTCTTATGCTCACAGATGTTTTAGAAGCCAGAATGAGGGCCCGAGCAGAGCGGCTATATCAAATATGGTCCCCAGGCTCCCTGCACAAAGCCTCTAAATGTGTTTTGAGTGAAGGAATGAGGTTTTGTCAAGGAAGTGGGGAGAGTAACTATTCCTCTTGGATCCTCCCTTCTCTCAGCCACAGTCCCCAAGTAAGACAGGAGGTCTCACCACATTTTTCTGCCAGGGGGAAAACTTCTCCAGTAAGAATTCCCCTACCCACCGCCCCTTTAATCTACTCATTAATACACAGTATTGTAAAAGTGATCTATAATTAGATGCTAACTGAGTTTGGCCATAAAATTGGGTGGGAGAGGTCAGCAAGGTAAGCCAGGAGCCAGCTGATTGTTATGATCAATCAATAACCTATTTATTTCCCAACATTTCTATTAACCTCTGCCAGCCAATCACAGTTTCAATTTGAAAGGCTGGGGTCCGCTTTGCTGACTGGACAAGTCTGATTGAAAGCAGGACCCTGACACGACCCCAAGGGCGAAATCCAATTAAAATCATTTTCACTTGTAGATTAATATTTTTAGCATGTTCTATATCCTGGGATTCATCATTCCTGGCAATAACTAATGTCTTGTGACATGAGCAGGTGGATTGGCACTGCCATAAATAATAATTGTGATTAATTAGCTCATCATGTCCTAGAGCGGCTTTGGGGTGGTGGTTGGTACAGCTTCTGGGAACTTTTCCCACCGCAAGCTGATTGTGTGGTCCTTTGAATCCCATCATTTGATGACCTTTCCTAAGTAGGAATGGAGTTTGTCCCTGGGTCTGTCTCCCTCTTCACACTGAGCTCCATGAGGCCAGCTAGCAGGTTTCATTCATCACAGAGACTCACTTACCCTTTGGCAATCCCACTTCTCCTTCTCTGGCCCCAACTATGGACACCATGGATTGGATCAGGGGTAGGGCCAATCCCCTCAAGCTGGGCCAATGAAAGCATCTGGAGATTTGGAAGTAGGTTTAAGGGCTTCCCTGTTGACTCAAATGGCAAAGAATCTGCCTGCAATGTGGGATACCCAGGTTCCATCCCTGGGTCAGGAAGATCCCCTGGAGAAGGGAACGGCAACCCATTCCAGTATTCTTGCCTGGAGAATCCCATGGACGGAGGAGTCTGAAGGGCTTCATGGGGTCACAAAGAGCTGGAGAGGATAGGCTGACTAACACTTTCAGTTTTTAAGGGACGTGGGCCCTTGGTTCAGTGTGGCTATTCCGGGGAGTGCTGACTGCCATGGTCTGCGCTGTGGACTGGGAAGTAGCGACAAATGAAAGTCATGTCAAGCGAGGAGTAAGGACGAAGGCAGAAAGGAGGGGCACCTGAGGTTTCCTAGCACACCCGATCTCTATTTTCCTGAGACCTGCCTGCACTCCAGCTCAGGTTCTATGAGTTGCCCCTGCATTTTCATAATAAGTATTCTTTCTTCCTACTTCCCCTGCTTGAATTAATTTGAATGTTAGTTTCTTTTCAACTAAACTCTCCCCCAAATTCAGAGCCCAAGAGAGATCCAATATTACACATAGGCTGGTGGCAGAACCATCCTCTTTCTCCTGACTCTTAACAAAAAGCCCTTTTGAGGAAGAAGGAAATAATAAGGAAGGAAGGAAGAATGTGCATTTGTTGAAGATTTACTCTGTGTCAGGTGCTTTGTAATGGCATCTATTTAATCTCTTCCATCCTGGGAGGTAGATTTTATTCTATTTTCTCTGTTTGCAGATGAGGAATCTGAGGCGCGGAAGTGAACAACTTGTCCAGGAAGAACTGAGGATTTAACTGCTTTCACTAATTTTGTGACTGTTCAGCACCCTAAGCTGCTTCTTTAAAAGAGGTGTGCTGCTTTGTTATATTACCATGAGGCTGTTCGGAGATAGCCAGCCAATGGGAACCTCAGGAGTAAATCAACCAAAAGAGTCACGGTCAGCCTCTTGAGATCCTGCAGAGGAGAGGCAGGGTCACAAGTCCAGACATGGGCAAGACTCCTTACCTTTTAGAGAACGCATTCATTTTTATTTATTTTTATTTATTTTTAAATGGAGAATAACTACTTTATAAAGTTGTACTGGTTTCTGCTGTAGACAATGTGAATCAGCCATAATAAATATATATATATATATATACACACACACACATTCTCTCCCTCTTATTCCATCCCATTCCTCTAGAAGACTCCTACCTTTAAAGACCAACTCGTAGAACCCAGTCATTGCTCTGAGTGCTTCAGGAGCCTCTCAGGAACCACTCAGACCACCCCATCTCCAGCCTCTGGATGGCTCATTTGTGGCCACTGAGATCATTCTAGCATCTGCACCTCCTGTGTGTTAGGAAAAAAGCAAAACCAGATCTTCCCAAAGAGGCTCTGCCAAGGGGAAATCCGGGAGGACCACGAGCCCCTCTGATGCTCTCAGTGATTTTTGTCTCTAGATACTAGGCTAGGGTTGTGTGTGTATGTGTGTACCAGGCTCCCTTTAATATGCACACCTGGATTGCACTGGGATGCCAGCACATTTCCTAACCAAGAACGGATGGCAATAGGGACATAAAAACAGCTAAGACCAGGTATCCAGACTAGCACATATTGAAGAATGTTTCAGCAGATATATCTAGGAGACTAAGAAGACTGGGAAATTCCTGTAGTCCCTGTCTTAGCTTTGGCTGTTATAAACAAAGTGTCATAGACTGGATGGTGTATAAATGGGAATTTCTCATGGTTCTGGAGGCTGGAAGTCTGAGATCAGGGTGCTAGCATAGTGGGATCTTGGTGAGTTCTGGGTGGCAGAAAGTCACCTTCTCATATCTTCACATGAGGAAGTGAGCTAGTATTCTTTTTTTCCCTAGAGGTATTAATTCCATTCGTGAGGGCCCCACTCTCATGACTTAATTACCTCCCAAAGCTCTATGTCCCAGTATCATCCCAGTGGGGATTAGATTTCAACAGATGAATTGGCAGTGGAGGGTGGTGGGGGGAAAGGACCACAGACATTCCAGTCCCTAATAGCGCCAAATTCTTCTTTAAAAAAAAAAAAAATTATTTGGCAGTTCCAGGTCTTAATTTCCACACGAGGGATCTTCATTTCGGTATGTGAGATCTGGTTTCCTGACCAGGGACCAAACCCAGGGCCCCTGCATTAGGAATGCGAAGCCTCAGCCACTGGACCACCATGGAAGTCCCCCCTAACAGCCCCACATTCTAATCTCCAAATTATTTTTACTGATTATTAAAAAAAGAAAATCAACCTGGAGACCTTGTAACACTGCAGTTTCCTTAGCCTCACTTCTGGGGGACTCTGATTTCATAGGTCTGTGCTACATTTGTCCTTTTGAGATGCTTCCCTGAGGACTGTGACAATCAATCAGATTCAGAGAAGCCCAGGGCACATCCCTACACTAAAGACATTGAGAATACCTATTAGTTTCACTAAACCCAGTTTACCAATGTTACTTAACATGTATCCCTTCATATGTTTTTATTTATTGCATAACACCTGTTTGCACAAGGTCCACTGGAGAGTCTACCAACATTTTTCCTTAATAATTTCACATGCATATCTTAACTCCAGTGATTCTTTCATGCCCCTTCCACCTTTTTACTGAATTCACTGGGCTGTTTTCTCCCTAAGGGCAAGGATAGTATCTGCCTTATAATAAAACCAAGAAGGACCCTGCAGGGCCCTCGCAGGTACAAAAGGCCTTCAGAGTCCCCCATCTTTTATTTGTTGAAAAGCTGTAGTCTCCCAGACCTCCTCTGAGTCACGAAAGAGCAGGCTCTAGCAGTTAATAATTAGGGCAAGTCACATAATCTTTAGTTCCTCCCTGAAGGACATAGGTAAGTGTTTGATGACCACTCCTGAGTTGTTTTGCAGATACTAAAACTACCACCAGAGGGAAAAAGCTAACTGCATAATCGGCAGACAGTAGCCGTGACACAAGCTGCTCCATCTTGCACAATTTTAAGAAGTGGCCTCTAGGAAATGGGAACTGACCAACCCTGGAGCTGAAGATGAACTGTGCTTGAGACAATCAAGATGGTGTTGACCAGACCACCGCGTGACCCGTTTCAAGATGATCGATGGAGTCAGCTGACTGGCTGTTCTGCATGGAACCACCACCTGTGCACCTGGGAACCTTTCTTTTAAAAACTCTTGCCCCGACTGGCAATGGGGAGACTGTTTTTTGGGGGCTGCTAGTCTGCCATCTCCCCAGGTCACCAGCTTCTTAAATGAAGCATCTTTTCCCACCAATCTTTGTCTCTCGAACATTTGACTTTTCAGCCACAAGCAGCTGAACCGGAGTTCAGTTCCAGTTCTGGCGGGTAACAACGTTCCCCTCTGGAGCCTGAGTAAATGAAGGTCTCTTAAAATCATCTCTTAACAGGAGACATGAGCCCCTCCCCACCTTCCCACCAACGGCAACACTGATCTTGGGAAGATAGTTTTAAAACTTTAAAACTTAAGAGATGGTGATTTCCCCTCTGTCTTCTAGGATTCGAAACTGATTTCCACCCCACAGGTGGTCACAACTGGGAAGACTATAGAACTGCTTTTGGTTGACAGTTGTGGGTATTGGGTGTTGGGTGCTGGCCACCCATCCTTCTCCAAGCTCTTCTCCCATGGCTCTGTCTTTGCCTCTTAACAAACTGGTTCCCAGGTATGAGCCCTCCTGAAACAACTGGTTAAGGCAAGACATTTCCCATTTCTCAGTTTCCTCTGCCTTCAAGCCACCAAGGGACTGAAGAGAGAAGTGCTGAGGCTACTGAAATGGGTTTCTCTGTGGAGGGAGCATTTGTGTTGGAAATTGCATTAAATTCAGCAGGCAGAAATCATTCATAGTGGCTTCTTACACCCCAGGAGGACCAAGATCCCACTAATAATCAAAATAGAAATCTGTACGCAGGTCAAGAAGCAACAGTTAGAACTGGACATAGAAAAACACACTGGTTCCAAATCGGGAAAGAAGGGCTTCCCTTGCGGCTCAGCTGGTAAAGAATCCAAATCGGGAAAGAAGTACGTCAAGGCTGTACATTGTCACCCTGCTTATTTAACTTATATGTAGAGTACATCATGTGAAATGCAGGGTTGGATGAAGCACAAGCTGGAATCAAGATTGCTGGGAGAAATATCAATAACCTCAGATATGCAGATGACACCACTCTTATGGCAGAAGGCAAAGAAGAACTAAAGAGTCTTTTTGATGAAAGTGAAAGAGGAGAGTGAAAAAGTTGGCTTAAAGCTCAACATTCAGAAAACTTAAGATCATGGCATCCAGTCCCATCACTTCATGGCAAATAGATGGGCAAACAATAGGAACAGTGGCAGACTTTATTTTTTGGGCTCCAAAATCACACATGAAATTAAAAGAAGCTTGCTCCTTGGAAGAAAAGCTATGACCAACCTAAACAGCATATTAAAAAGCAGACACATTACTTTGCCAACAAAGGTCCGTCTAGCCAAGGCTATGGTTTTTCCAGTGGTCATGTATGGATGTGAGAGTTGGACTCTAAAGAAAGCTGAGTGCTGAGGAATTGATGCTTTTGAACTATGGTGTTGGAGAAGACTCTTGAGAGTCCTTTGGACTGCAAGGAGATCCAACCAGTCCATCCTAGAGGAAATCAGTCCTGATTATCCATTGGAAGGACTGATGCTGAAGCTGAAACTCCAATACTTTGGCCACCTGATGTGAAGAACTGACTCACTGGAAAAGACTGAAGGTGGGAGGAGAGGGGGATGATAGAGGATGAGATGGTTGGATTGGATCACCGACTTGATGGACATGAATTTGTGTAAGCTCCGGGAGCTGTCGATGAACAGGGAAGCCTGGCATGCTGCGGTCCATGGGGTCGAAAAGAGTCGGACATGATTGAGCAACTGAGCTGAACTGAAGGGTGATGTATTTATCCCACCCTGTAAGTACCCCCCCCTTTTTTAATGTAACTTTTTAAATTTAATTCTTCACAAGATAATGAAGACCTGAAGGAGTGACCCGAGCAGGAAGCTTTTATTCATTTATCTTTTGGCCACACTGAGTGGCATGTGGGATCTTCATTCCCCAACCAGGGATCGAACTGGCACCACCTGCATTGGCAGTGAAGAGTCTTAACCACTGGACCACCAGAGAAGTCCTTGTAAGCCTCTTTCTAATCCTACTTGGCAAACAGAAACCACCAGGACTTACCTGCCAGTTCCAGGCCATTTCACGTGTTCCCGGGGAGTTGATCCCATGTCAAGAGAAAAGCAACTGGTTGTCCTGACCCATGTCTGGCAACGGTCCTTTGGTTCCTAGTTGTCAACAGTTGAGGGGGACGGTGTTGACCAGTCTCCTCTGGATCAACACAGCGTGGGCACTGGGAAGATGCTCCTGGACTGCTCGGGGACAGTTCGCAGGGCTCGAGACAATCACGTGTTGAGAGCGAGTTCCCCTTTCAATGTTTAAGTGGTCCTTTCAGAGCCCGTCAACAGTGGGGTTGTAAAACAGGTGGAAAAGCGAGTGTATGGCATTTTTATTGCCCTGTTTCTGGACTTCACGGGCATTATTCCCTATCCATGTCCAAAAGGGGTCCCAGAGGTCACGCACGGCTGTTCTAGATCCCGAACAGTGGTTGTGATGCTGGAAGTCTTTGTTGACGTTCTGTAACGTCTCCCACCTGTGGTAACGCATCCTAGCCGGAGTGTAGCCGTGATCCCGTCCCCCTATTTCGTTGCTCTACCCCCTCCTGTAGGCGGGACCGAGGTGGGGGGTTGGTTTGGGGAGTGGGCTGGTCTTTCTGAACCAGGTAATCCCCAAGTATCTGACAGATAATCCAGGTCCCTGCCTTTCGTCTGTATTCACCAGCCAAGCCCCGGCAGTCAGAGGAACCCCGAGCGCGGAGCTGCCACTTTTAAACCGGAAAGAGATTCTGAATTGAGGACATTCTCAGTGTCATGGAAGAGAAAGGCGCCTCTCATGGTGGTCAGCTGCCCAGGGCCCCTCGTGCTAGTGAACGCCACCTCAGGTCACTCCCACAACTCTGTCTCCGTCCTAACTTCCCGACTTCATCCCGCTGAGGGGAGTTTCCTCAGCCTTCTGTGGCCAATTTTTAGCTGCACCCACCGGCCTGTGAGCCTTGTAGTTGCTCGGCCTTGAAATTGGAGACACTGACGTCAGAAGGAAGGGATCCTGAGGCGGACGGCCTCACTTTGAGCAGCTGGCGGCCAGCACAACATGGCGGCGCGCTTCACCTCTAGGAGCGGGAAAGAGGCTGCTGTTGATTGGAGGAACTGATCTCACGTGGTCTGATTGGTTACCAGGGAAACCAGCGGTTTGGGCACGCCCCCCACAGGCCCTCAAGTTAACCACCGTCGTGGTGGTGTGTGTTTCTTGTTAACAAACTAGTAGATGAAGCCGTGCTGCCCTCAGTTTTAGAACCATCACTCTGCTGGGGCAGAGAGCAGGCGTGTGCATGGTCCATGAGTTGGTGCAGCTGACGCAGGGGCTGGTGGACAGGGGAGGGAGGTACAGAGAGCTGGCCTGGTCACCATCTCATTGCATCCTTGCTATAGCTTTGTTATCGTTATCTGCTATTATAGGTGAAGAAACCAAAGCCCAGATTAGTTCAATAATGCAGGGCCCCACCGGAGACAGATGGCACATTCAAATGAACCTATTTTAATAAAGGTACTATTTCCAGCGGTCAGGGTAGTGGATTCATTTTGTTTTTTAAAAAACATTTCTAGTGCATTTGTTTCTTTTTCATAAGTCTTTATTAAATTTGTTACAACATTGTTTCTGTTTTATGTTTTAGTTTTTTGGCCAGGAGGCATGTGAGATCTTAACTGCTTGACCATGGATGAACCTGCACCCACTGCATTGGAGGGCGAAGTCTTAATCACTGAACTGCCGGGGAAGTCTCTATTTTTTAAAAATTTGTCTGTACTGGGTCTTAGTTGTGGCAGTTGGGATCTAGTTCCCTGAACCAAGGATCGAACCTGGACTCCCTGCACTGGAAGCAGAGAGTCTTAACCATTGAACCATCAGGGAAGTCCCTCATTTTCACCAAGCCGCAAACTTGGTGACTTTAAACAGCATCCACCTGTTAGCTCACAGGCTTGTAGGTCATAGTCCAGCACGGCATAGTTAGATTTTCTGCTCAGTATCTCCCGAGGTTGAAATCAAGGTGTCATTGGGGTTAGGATCTCATCTGAGGCTCAGGTTCTCCTTCAAGTTCAATCAAGGTGTCAGCAGAATTCAGTTCCCTGTGGTTGTAGGGCTGAGGTCCCTGTTTTCTCACTTCCCGCTTGCCTAGGGACAGCTCTTGGCTTCCAGAGACCACTCTCAGATCCTTGTCATGTGTCCCCCTTCCATAGACAGCTCATGGCATGGATGTCTGCTGCTTTGAGCCCAGCAGGAGACACTCTTCCTTCCGGGGTTGTGAAGACTGGGGTCCCAGGTAAACAGTCATGCAGTGACTCCTCCTTGAGCTGCTCACTCGCTGACCTGTCTGCTTGCCTCCATCTCCCTGCAGAGAGCAGATCCAATCATCCCTTCCCCGTCAGCCCTCGGCCCTCCTTGAAATTTACTCTGATGGTTCCTTGAAGTTCCTCTCACCTAAATGCACCCCCTCTCTGGGGGTTGTTCAGCCATCTTTGGGAGGAGCTCTCCAGTGGAGAGAAGGGGTTTCTCTGGGGAGCCATGTGAGTGCCCAGCTCCTGTCTCATCTCCTACCTGGTGGATTAGAGACTCAGACCCTGGAATTCTGTCTGCATCAGGTCTCTGTGACATCATGCCTCTCAGAGGGGCTCAGGGGCCAATTAGGAAGTTAATCCAGACAGGAGACCCTGTGAGCCCGCTATGGCTATTGGTCTCTGGTCTGCCACCATGAGGCTGTATGGCTTCACCAGAGTCATCTGGAGTGCTTGGGCCTTGTCTCTGAAGTGGGCCTGCATCCCTGTTGGAAGGAGTTGGTTTAAAGCTTTTCAGATCTGGATTCTGGGATGGATTCAAGAACCAGCCCTTTCAGGACATCATCTCCTCCAGGAAGCCTCCTGACCCCTCAGATTGCATCAGGCGACTACCCAGCTTCCTGGATTTCCTTGTCATCTGTGTCTTTATTTGATTGTGATTGCCTGTTACATATCTCTCACTGGACTGTCACCACCTCGAGTGTAAGAATGGACCACATCAGTTCCTGCTCAGAGCTCTTTGAAGACTTCATTGCTTTCGCTGTTGTTGTTCAGCCACTAAGTTGTGTCCAACCCTTTGCGACCCCATCAACTGCAGCATGCCAAGCTTTCCCATCCTGCACTGTCTCCTAGAGTTTGCTTAAGTTCATATCCATTGAGCTAGTGATGCTATCTAACCATCTGAGGGAAGACCAAATCTTTATTCTGGCCTCAACTCCCTTTATGACTGCATTTTCTCCCTCTTCTGTGTGACCTTGAGTGGTATTCCCTCTCTGTTCCAGCCACAACAGTCACCACCTTCAGGTCCTTTATGCTTCCTATGCCAGGGCCTTGGTACACGCCATTCTCTTTCACTGGATGCTCTTTCTTTCCTAGCCCCCATCCCCCTTAATTGTACCCCCTGATCCTTCAGATTTCAGCACAAGCTTCACTTCTCCAGACATTAGGTCAAATTCTTGTTATCAGTTCTGAGGATCTCACCTTTGTAGACTAGTCATTGCTATCAAGATTGGATAAGCAATCATCTCCCCTTGCAGAGGGCCTGAGAGCAGGGACCACGCCTCTTTGTTCTCCCTTGTAGCCCCAGCGTCCTGCCGAATTCCTGGAGCCGAGTGGACATTAGTTATGTCAAATGGTGATGGAATCTTCGTGCTCTTGGAGTCAGGACCTGGTGCATGGCAAGTGCAAAATAACTGGTCCCTTGTAGCCCCAGCGTCTTGCCGAATTCCTGGAGCCGAGTGGACATTAGTTATGTCAAATGGTGATGGAATCTTCGTGCTCTTGGAGTCAGGACCTGGTGCATGGCAAGTGCAAAATAACTGGTTCCACTTGTGCAAAATAAATAAATGGGTTCTCTGTGGTCTGGTGGGTCCCATCCCTGCTTCTCAGTAGTGTCACTGGCATGGCTTTGGGGTGGACAGAGCAGGGTTTGAATGTAGCTTCTTCTATTTCCCAGCTGTGACTTTGGGCAAGTCTTTTCATTCTCAGAGCCCATTTCTTGGTCTGTCAACTGGGGGTCTTCATTGGGGGCTGCAAAGAGGATTTCACAGCAGATGATTTCAAAGCCTTCTGTTAACTGAAGCCACTTGGGAATACACTGGGAGAAACCCCACATCCCCCAATGTCCTTCCACAGAGATTGGCTATTTGGATTTTGGTGGGTGAACCCTATTCTGGGTGGGCCTCCAGAGACCAGGGCTTCAGCCTTTCCCGTCTTCCATCCGAGATGCTTGATGAACAGTGGCACTGGCCCAGTTTCCCAGTGTCCTGAGTACTGGGCTGTGTGGCCACAAATCTGAACACCCCGGATGTAATTCCTGAGTCTGGTCACCTCCGTCTCACAGGCAGGAGGAAGTGGACAGATTTAGTGGTGGGATGGGCGGCAGCTGCTTTGGATCTTGTCTTCTTGCTTTATGGGCGCGAGGTCTGAGCACGGTCACGTGCATGCAGCTCCTCTCTCCCCCACTTCGGGTTCTTACAGAGTTTCCCCCACTCTCATCCACCAACTGTTTTTTCTTTTCTCTTAATTATAACAGAATGCATGCTTGCTACTTAAAAAAGCTTTCAAATAATAGAAGGTGAAGGTTGTCCCTGCCCACTCGAATCCCATATTCTCGGGTAACCAGTGCAGCATTTATGGTGGGTACTACCAACCCTTGTCTCCATGACGCTCTTAAAAACCTGTATGTTAGATGCTAGAGATGGTGTAGAGAAAAGGGAACCCTCCTACACTGTTGGTGGAAATTCAAGTTGGTGCCGCCATTATGGAAAATAATATGGAGGTCGCTTAAAAAATAAAAACTAAGAGTTGTCATATGATCTAGCAATCCCACTCCTAGGCATATATCTGGACAAAACTCTAATTCTAAAAGATATATGCACCTCTGTGTTCACAGCAGGACTATTCACAATAGCCAAGACATGGATACCAACCTAAATATCCATCAAGAGATAAATGGATAAAGAAGATGTAGTAATACACACAGCGGAGTACTACTCAGCCATAAAGATGAAGTAATGTCATTTGCAGCTATATGGATGGACCTAGAGATTACATGCAAAGTGAAGTAAGACAGAGACAGATATTATACATCACTTACATGTGAAATCTAAAATATGGCACAAAGGAACCCATCTATGAAACAGAAACAGATTCAGACACAAACGAACCTATTTATGAAACAAACCACTCACAGCACACTGGTGGTTGCCAAGGGGGACCAGGTATGGGGGGAGGGTTGGATTTGGAGTTTGGGATTAGCAGGAGAAAACCATTATACATAGAATGGGTAGACAACACGGTCCTAGTGTATAGCACAGGGAACACATGTTCAATATTCTATAACAAATCATAACGGGAAAGAATATGAAAATATATATATTACCAACTAGTATAAAGAAGATAATAACACAACATTGTGACTCAACTATAGTTCAGTAAAAGCACCAATGGCAGCAAGCCACCTGTATGTGATAGCAGCACCTGTTAATCACAGAGTGCTGACTGTGGGACGGGCATTATGCTCTAAGTTGCTCAAATGGGTTAATTCAAGGCTGGTAGAACATGCGTGCATGCTGTGCTCAGTCGTGTCCAACTCTTTGAGAACCCCATGGACTGTAGCCCCACCAGGCTCCTCTGTCCATGGAACTTTCTATCAAGGATATTGGAGTGGGTTGCCATTTCCTACTCTAGGGGATCTTCCTGACCCAGGGATCAAACCCACATCTCCTGCCTCAGAAGCAGATTCTTTACCCTTGTGCCACCTGGAAATCCCAGAATGCTTGCACTAATCTTACAAATGGGGAAACTGAGACCATTGGTTTTAAGAGGCTTGTCCAAAATCACACAGCTTGTAAGTGACAGAGTCAGAACTTGAATCCCCCGCATGTGTGTGTGCATAGTACACTATATAAGCATGTGTGCACTTAGGCATTTCTTTTCCCCCGCGGAAGCGGGTTACACTATATTTTTGGTTCTTAAACTTTTATTCACTTCATAACATATTGTGGGCATCTCTGAAGGTCTCTGTAAATAGGTGCGTGTTTAATTTTTCAACTACTTTAATGTTTGAAGAGTATTCTAGAGTATGGATGGGCTAAAATGTATACAAACCAGCTCCAGAGGAGAAATGTGAAAATCATTTATAAATTTTTGCTTGAAAAACCTTGCCAAGGTGACCACTCTTTCACAGATTCCTTAAAAAACATTTAAAAAATATTTTATGCACATGTTGAATATTCAAATAGTTTTCCAGAGTGAACAGTGCCTGTGTGTCTCCTGTTCTCCTTGACAGGTGAAACTACTTTAGCAGTTTCTTCTGGAACCTTCCAGAGAAATAGCGTGTACTTTCAAGTACGTGAACAGACACACACACATGCACATGTATATATACACATGAATACACACAGACATACATATATACAAACATGCATTTTGGGCACATAAGTTATACTATACACACTGCTATAAATTTGCTTCTTTTTCATTTAATAGTTTACCTGGAAAATTGTTATACCTCAGTCCACATAGACATCCCATGTTCATAGTTATTTATTTAATTTTGAAGAAGTCATATATTCATTGTTAAAATATATAATAAAATAATTAAGTGATTTATGTGTAAAATATATAAACATATTTGAAAGAAGACCGTG